AGGGGAAGTATCTCAGTTTTCACCCTTAGAGTGACATTTTGTTTCATAAAAGCGTTTTCAAGGCCTGGTTCCTAAACTATTAGAGAAGCAGATTAACAAACTGTTAGGCCAATTCTTTATCACAAATGTGCTGGAATATGATTCTAGGGGATTTTGCTGTACATCTACTAAACACCTTTCCGCCAAGAATATTATTTGTTATTGAAGTTTCTGCGACTCAAAACTAATTGAGTGGTTACGCATGCTCTATTTAGTAGGCTTTTGCTTGTTATGGTAATGTATCAGAACCTATGTTGAAGTGTTTATTGTTTTTTACAATTTTAATGAATTACATATGCATTTGAAGCTTACTTTATTTTATTAACAGATAAGAAGGAAATCATCTCCAGTTCTGGGAGATGCAAAATCTTCAGTTGATGTGATTTTCTTCACCGTGATCTCATTGGGCTTTATTTCTGTTGCGTCATGCATTGAAGATGCTGCTCGAGCTATTATCTTTGCTTTAATGGACAAAAGTGATTCAGAACTGGGCGAGCCACTTACTCTGTTTCTATTTAGGCCTTGGCTTCCTATACCTTTGAAAACAGGTAAATGAATTTAATCCTTGGTTTCCTTTTTTAATTTTATGTTGTCCTTGGTTTCCTTTGATATAGGAAAGTTTAGAGGCACCAACTGTGGTATCCATGTACAATGAAGAAATCAGGAAATATTTTGAAGTGACCCTTCTTTCTTGGGCCTATGCTAGAACTAGGGAAAGTACTTAATATCTTGTTGACCGGGGTGAGACTCATCAAGGTCTTGTTGTTCTTCTTCTTGCATTGGTTGAAAGTTTTGAAGAATTGGCTCTTGGGACAGAGATAGGTGAAAGAATGGTAGGATCCATCTAATGGACGCCAATAAGGTTGCGGAATGGGTGGGCGAATTTCAAAATTTTTCCTACCTTCTTTCAACTGGGAATTATATTCCCTAAATTTAGAATACTATATTCAATGATCCTACTTGAACCATAATCGAACCAGATCTGAACCAAAAGGCAAAATGGAGGAATATACCTGATTCGGAGAAGCAGTATCTCCCAAAGAAGAAACCAAGATCCGCTCCTGCTGAAGATGACATAGCTGTGGATGGAACGGAACCAGCAGGGTGCGTCCTACACA